TGTCAAATAAATAAATAAAATCTTAAAAAAAAAAAAAAAGGCAGTATGCCGTCAATGGTCATATTTCTTAAGTCTTTCAAAATCTAGAATGCTTCTTTCCTATCTACCCATTTTTTTTTTCTGTAATATTTTCTTATTGACGACACCAGACCAGCATTCTAGAGAAGGTCCCACCTTCTATCTTTGTCTGACTATATTTCATGTCATGTCATTTAACTTGTTTCTTGATCATCTCTGTAAACTGAAGTTTAGCTGTAAAGTCCTGAATATACCTTTTCTCTGCTATGTCACCTTGTGCACTGTGACATCTGGTCATCTAATACAATGTGGATATCTGCCACTGGCTCAAAAGCGGCAGCAACTAGATGCCTCACTGCAAGTCCACGTCCCTCCCCTTTCAAGTGACAAGCAGTCTGTGGTCAAGCCCGTGTTGAATTGTATCAAACCCCACATCCAGGTCCTGTTCCCTCTATCGCCCACCTCAAATTAATATCTCCCCCTAATCACTGTGCTTTCTGGCATCTCCACTGGGCAAGATTTTGCTAAATATACCTCCTGAGTTTGTACTATAAATATGGAAATTTTTTTCAAAGTAAAGACAATTTTAATTTTCAAAATTGAAAACTGTAATATAGATTATGACATTTCATGGCTCCATCTCAAGATTCTGCCATATGTTGAGGAGGTCACTAGTCTGAACTCCCACTGATGTTCAGGACTGGGACATCTAGGAGCTCCAGTGCTCTTGGGCAGATCACACCTACAAGCCCAGCACAGACCTAAGTCCTGCATGAGGCCTGGCAGGTGTCGCTGAGATCCATGGCCCAGGCACGCAGACTCAGGAGTTAAAAATGCCAACTGGCCGCAACATGCAGGGTGCCTGGAACTGGAGATGTAGTCAGTCCCAAGCTCATGTAACCACAGGGTAAGGAGCCAGGGCCATGGACTTGATTTAGAACCACAAGATGAGACCACTGCTGAAATCAGCCAGGGAGTGCTGACAAACCTCAGAGCTGCAAGAGCTGTGGCCACATGTACAACATCTCAGCCAAGCTTGGGCACACTTTGCAAGAATGGGACCAAAGCCTCTGCGTCTCAAACACATGGTCCATGGTCCATCTGGAGTTCTAAAGTTCTGATTTAGAAATTCATTTATATGACAGTCTTACAAAAATATACAATTATGTATTTATTTATATATTCAGTGGGTCACCTTTATCAGAGCACAAGTGGCCACTGTTCTAGAAAATGTGAACCATGAGGTTATCAGACAGAGAACCTGGAGGCAGCATCAGAGGAGGAAGCCAACCATAGTTACGGTGCCTTATGTACGTAGTCACATATTCTCCTGTGATCCTCGAGAGCCTCATGAGGTTGGTACTATTACGCCTAGTTTATATGTGGGAAGATCAGAACCCTAAGGCTCAGAACAGAAGAATGACCAGAAATGGAAGGGAAATGGCTAGCTCAGGCCTCCTGAGTCTGCGTGACTCGGAAGCCCCTGGTTTTTCACTTACAACACCCGTCTTCCCCAATGTATAGCCAAATAAGCAGAACTGAAATTAAGCATAAAAGAGAAGGTAAGTATCACCAAAATTTGTTTACCAGGTTTTCTTTGCAGAATCAGAATTACTAGCAAGACTCTTCTGCAGACTCATTTGGTGTCCCTTTCTCATTTTTCCCTATGCTTCGGTCTTTCAGGTCCTTGAGGGATATGTGTTCCTTTCCACCCCAGGGCCTTTGTACATGATGTTTCTTCAGCAGTTCACCTAGCTAGTTTCTGCTTGTCCTTAAATATTGGGTTTATGTTGCTTTCTCAGGGAAGCCCTTCCTGACCTGGAGGAGCCAGGCCACCATGTCACTTGTCTTGGGGCACCCTCCTGCTCCTGTCCAGTCCTTTCACAGTTGCTTCTCTTTCAAGTGGTCAGAGTCACCAGGCCATGGGTTCAGGGTCTGAGCCCCTGAGGTTTCTAATTTCCACAGAAGGCTTTAAGTGCGTGCACGAAGCCACATGTGAATGGAGCCCAGGTCCCTTTCCTCTGTGGGACTGAAGTTCCTTATTAGTAGAATAAGGCTAACTTTCTATGAACCTGTGGTTGATATCCCATGAACTCTCGAGTCATACCTTATCCTCTTGTATGCAGCAGGTTCTCTCACACCCACGCAGACTGAAAGGCTCCCAGGGCATTCCAAAGCGTACTTAATCTGCATTCTGGGTGGGATGCCGAGACTTCCCTGGCTCAGAGTGGCCCCAAGGGCAGGCAAGGGCATTCTTTATGCCCACCTGGCCTTCCCTAGGCCCTACTAGCTCCCTTCCCAGCCCTGCCACCCAGTGCCCTTCCTACCCCATGGAGCCTTTCATCCTTTTTACCAGCCTTCCTCCAGTTCTTGAAGGCTCCCAGCCCTTCTGCCATTGTCACTGGGGGCATGAGAGAGGACAGCCACTTAATATTATTCCAAATTAACTCCATTTACTGAACATTCTGGGATTTCTCCTTCCTCCTTTTCTTGGTTTTAAACTCTTATTCCTTTCTGACATTATGGTAAGAATACATAGATGTGTGTGTGAAGTTTTTCCGTGGAGAATTCTGAAGCGCCAGTGTTGACTGGTGTGGAAACCCCGAGGGTCTGAGAACTCACCTACAGGGCGATGACCAGGTCCCGGAGAGCCCCTGCGCGTCTGTTCCACGCCTGACCCGAGCCTTCCTTTCCCAGCTCGCTCCTCTCCCCACTTCCTCTCTTCCCCTCCTTCACAGACTCTGAGTCCTACTGAACTAGCAGAAGTTTCTGCGAGCCCAAGGAGGATGAAGTCTCTGGGCCGCGGCGGGGCTTTTCTTGCCTCTCCCTCCCGGCTTTTCGGGGTAACTGCCCTCATTCAACACTCAAGCGAGAGGTCACTTCCCCGGGCAGCACTCCCTGACCAGCACTGCACCACCCCTTCCTTCCCACCCGCCCTGGGCGTCCCCGCCCAAGCACGAAGAGCTGACCCATCTACTTGTAGTTACTCTACTCGGCACCTCCTCGCCCCCCAGGCGGTGGCTAGGTGCTCAGTTAAAGTCCGTCTCCTTAGTGAAAGGACCACGTGCCGGGCAGGCTCCTCCCAGGGAACCTCCGGGTTTGCCCCGCTCCAGGACTCCCTACACCGAGGCGGAACCCGAGTCCGCCGTCTGAGCCCCGTGCTGTGCAAACCCCAAGCTTCATAAGTCTCATAGAGCCCCCCTCGCCCCCTCCAACCAGGGCGCCCCCCTCTCGTCGTGGGACAGCCGGGGGTCCGGGGACTCCGCGCAGAGGGAGCGGCCGCCGCCCCGCGGCAGTGTCCCCGGGTGGGGGGGGTGTCCCGCGGGCCGCGCGCGGGAGACACAGGCTGCGGCGCGCGGTGCCAGACGCAGGGGCAGTGCTCACAGGCCCCCGGCCGGCCCGCCTCTCGCCGGCGCTCCCGGCCTTTCCCATCCGGCCCGCGACGCTCCGCCCGCCCCGTCCCACATGACACCGCCTCCGCCGCAAACTTTTTCCTCCCCATCCTGTCGCGGCTCGAAAGGAATGGAAAATGGCGGCCTAGGCGCGGAGTTTCCTGCCCGAGCGGCGGCGGCGGCTCTCGCGGCGGCGCCATGACGCGCTGGGTGCCCACCAAGAGAGAGGAGAAATACGGCGTGGGTGAGCTCCGCGCGCCCCACTCCGCGCCCGGCCTGCCCGACCTCCCCGCGGCGCGCGCTCCG